TCTTCAGTGAAGTTATTTTTGTACCTGACACTGAAAATCTTTCCTCCACTTCATGCCACTTCCTAAGTCAAACAAAAAATCAGATAGGATACCAAATAGGATCAAATTATGAAATCTATAATTTTATATGAAGACTTTTAATGTATCAATTACTAAAGAAAACAATATTTATTTACCTGTTTTACAGGGAGTACAGTCCAACGGGCGTGAAAATTGAAGTTGATCTGAATCTGATGAATATAGGCTTTATTTCAGGCAGGGATTTTTCGCATGATGTTTCTGTTATTTCAAGACACATGGAGGTAAAAAGGCACTTTTCTACAAACACTGCCATTTGTAAATCATAATGGGAAAGAACCATCATACAATATCCCTCATACTCCATGATTTACTGATCACTGTACACAGCACTCAGTTAGTTTAGCTGATGTAAGGGATTCTCAAAGGACCATCAATCTGAGGAGGCCTCATCCTATCTGGTTAATCAGTCCATCAGTCATCTCAGTCATTTGGGGGCAGTCGTGGCCTAATGGATAGAGAGTCGGACTTGTAACCCGAAGGTTGTGGGTTTGAGTCTCAGGTCTGGCAGGAATTGTCGGTGGGGGGAGTGAATATCCAGCACTCTCTTCCACCCTCAAAACCATGAGGTGAGACCCTTGAGCAAGGCACCGAACCCCAACTGCTCCCTGGGTGCCGCAGCATTGGCTGCCCACTGCTCTGTGTGTGTGTTTGTTCATTACTCACAGCTGTGTGTGCAGAGCACAAATTCCAAGTATGAGACACCATACTTGGCCTCACGTCCTTTCCTTTCTCTTCTTTTCATAACATCTAAATATATAATTAACAAAAGCACATAAAATGACTAAACCTTCAAAATTAAAATCAAAACATAAAAATAAAAAACTATTTCTAAATATTTTAAATTATTCAAAATATTATTTTAAACTAAAGGTTAAAGTCTGTAAAACCAAAAAGCACTTTTCTTTGACCTCTAAAACTCTATTTTAAAAAATAAAAAACTTTCAAGAAAGACCTCCTCTTTGTCTTTACTTTCGTTTTCAGCAGGGAGACGCGGGTACCTGAGTGGTCTAATTCTGTCAATCATCAAGATGCTTAGTGACAACAACGCGCGGCTTCACCAATGAGGGCGCATCCATTAATATACTTTTATAACTACAATAAAAATATAATTGATTAACATAAATATATATTTATACAATAAACATTAATTTATTGGCGTAACCTGAGAGAACTCTGACCCCTGGTGGTGATCTAGACCTCCAGCTTGGGAACATTTCTGAATCAAACCAAATAATCCTGTATCTTCAGACTGTTTCAGGTATAGTCTACATGCCTTACAGCATCAGGGGTCTCTGATGAGCAACTGTATTCACAACTGTTCACTGTGAAATGCTGTCAGTGCAACTGAAATGTTGCTGGGTCAGGGTCTGTGCAACCCTCTTTGAAAACCCTCAGCCCAAGTTTCCACTAACTTGAGAGGTGAACAATGTCATAACTGAGTATGTTACTGCACAACCTGCCCACAAACAAGCATTGCTTTAATGGCCTTCTGGCCTTGAAATTGCTATTATAGGCTGCCCTTGAACAACATAAGGCATATTTATATAACATGCCTAGATTTATGTAACATGCATCCAGACATCAAGGTCTGCTGGATTTCTAATGAAAGCCAATATGAAATCTCGTTACCTGAGAAGATCCGGTGTTTGCCTCACTAGGAGACAACAGGGGATTGCAATATTGAGCCAAAGGTCTTAGGGTACATTTACTCGAGAACATAAGCATTTGCGCCGGTTGAGTTTCGCGTACAGACAACAAAACGTCAAAATGATCCCCATTCATACAGATCTGTGAAAGTGACTAAAAACGCTGTATTATTCATGCCAGGCCAGTAGGTGGCGATCACTTTATA